AGGGGGTCCCGGAGAATGATCTCAGCAGGAGGCCAACCCGAACAGATATGGGGACCGCAGGCCCAACCAGAAGCATTGGAGACATTCAATCCCCTTCTCATGCAGGGTGAGCAAGTGGTTGGTCAACTCCGAGACAGAATTTCCGTTTCTCGGGGCGGAGATTAACGGAATGCAAAGAAAATTCGAAAGAAACGATTCAGTTGTCGGACAATGACTCCTCAGAAGAAGACTCGGAGATGGAGACGTAGGGTGAGGCAGAAGTTGCCCCTCTTGTGCACCATAATCAGGTTTCTCGTCGTGTAGTTTTGGAGGACGAGAAAGGGGGCTAAGAACCATGCCAGCAATACTAATGTAATGCAGAGAGAACCTTTGAAGATTTGCTGGCCATGAGTTCACTTGAATAGCTATTCTGCAAGGCTCTGTCATTTACTTTGTCCTTTGCTCTCATCTCTTCTATCGCTTGTACTACTGTAATCACAAGATTTTACCTCTAGACCAACTGAATCGGTAGATAGTAGTCTGTAATTTCTAACGTTGGGTAGTAGTCGGCAGTAAGGTGAATTAAGTGAAAAAATAGTAACCATCTTCTTAAATGTTCCGACATAATTAAAAAAAAAAAAGAACCGATCTCATATTGTCTCAGTCAACCATCAAACCATTCACCGATCAAAAAGATTAGTATGCGGCTAATTCATACCAGGTTATCCTTCAGTGCCATGCACATACTTCTGATGTCAATCCCCCTTTACCATGCATTGGTTGCAGAGTCGTCCATCCCCGAAGTCGACGTTGCCATAATCGGCGGTGGTCTATCAGGATTATCTACCGCCAAGAATCTTGCAGCGGCCAATCGATCCTTCGTTATCCTAGAAGCAAGAGACCGAGTCGGTGGTCGCGTGCTCAATGCCAATCTCACAGGAAAGAACGTCCAAGAACTAGGCGCCGCATACGTTGGACCAACACAAAACCGCGTGCTAGCTCTCACAGCCGAACTCGGTCTACCCACCTACAAGACATACACGGTGGGAAAGGCAACGTTCTATCGAAACCACACAGCGCGTCATTATCAAGACAGTTTAGGTGGCATACCTCCCGTGGGCCTAGACTCACTCGTTGAACTTGCACTCTTCATGAACGACATCAATACCCTAGCGAGTAAAGTCGACCTAGAAGCACCATGGAGTACTCCGAATGCTCCGGCGCTGGATTCAATGACCCTAGAAACATACGTCAACTCTCGACTCTCCACTGCCGACTCTCGCGTTCTCCTCGACGTGGCCATCCCAGCCATCCTATCGACCGAACTGAGAGAACCGTCTCTGCCCTACGCGTTGTGGTGCATAGCTGCCGCCGGAGACGAATCGGGACCTGGAACAATCAACCGCCTCATCGGCGTCGACGGAGGTGCACAGGACAGTCGAGTTAGGGGTGGAACGCAGTTGCTCGCAACCCGACTCGCCGACAAACTCGGCTCACAAAACATCTACCTCAACACACCCGTGCGCAAAGTCCAGCTCAAAGAATCCCGCTATCTAGTCTCTTCCGATGAAGTCGCCATTTCAGCCCGACACGTGGTGGTGGCCATGTCCCCACCTCTAGCAAGTCGCATCACATTCGATCCGCTCCTACCCGCCGGAAGAGATCAGTTAAACCAGCGCATGCCCATGGGGGCACTTGGCAAAGCCATTGCTATCTTCCCCAGCGCCTGGTGGCGGCATGAAGGGCTCAACGGCGAAGGTGTGAGTGACACCGGATCGATCCGAGTGACATACGACAACTCGCCGGCGGATGGATCCTTCGGGGCAATCATGGGGTTCATTGAAGCGGATGAGATGCGCAAGCTGGATGCTGTGAGCGAGGACGAGGTTAAGCGCCAGGTCAAGCAGAGTTTTGCGAATTTCTTTGGTCCGCGCATGGAAAATGCTACTGATGTCCTCGTGCAGAGGTGGGATCTGGAGGAGTTCTCCCGTGGGGGTCCTAGTGCTTTCATGCCGCCGGGGGTTTTGACGCAGTATGGGTCTTTTTTACGGGCTCCGGTTGGGAGGATCCATTTTGCTGGAACTGAGACTTCGCTAAGGTGGATTGGGTATATGGATGGGGCTATCAGCTCGGGGGAACGGGTTGCTGGGGAGATTTTGGAGAATTGGTGAGTCGGGGTTTGATTATGGGGCTTTGCTTGGTGGATTCTTGAGGTTTGGGCGGGATTGTCGGGAAAAAAAAAATCGAAGTTTATATCCGAAGTTTTGGACTCTACAAGAGAATGACTTTCTTGAGACTTGACTAGATTGATCAAGAGGAGTACTCTGGAGCTGGTTCGGGTAAATGAATATCATCTTTTGGGCAACTTTTAGGCTGATTTCTAGGAGCCTTGTTGAGGAAGTGTTTGGCATCTCCCCTAGTTCCTCACCTGACCTAGGCAATAATTCTTCAAGCTTATAGCGTTGATGTCGTGCGGTAGCTCAATGCTGGAGGAAATAATAAGAGGCTCCGTGCAATTTAGTCAACCAGATTCCAACTTGGAGATCCATGAAGTTGTCCAAATGTGTCAGTTGTGGACCTTTTCAATATTATATGCATTTTGCATTATGCATTTGCTGGTCCACGCTAGGAAATTTACTCCCATTTCCGAATCCGGAAGCATGTTATTCTTTTCCAGCTGAACTAATTTATTTCTCCAAAAAAGAGACCTTTCGGAAAAGTAAACACTGAATTTTCTTCACACCAACCCGCTGATTGCCGGGTGAACCGGAGATGCATAATCGCCCCGGTTGGCGTCACGCTAACGGTTTCGGGACTGAATGGGAAGAACTGTATAAAATAGACAATCCCCACCAGCAATTACACTAATCTTTGCCCTTGAAGGAAGTGTCTTTGCCAAAGTCATGTCAAGATCCAAACGTCGCCACCGCCATGCAAAGCCGGTCCAGCAAACCCAGTCACCGGCATGCTCTTCGTCGCCATCTCCAGTCACAGAGCCAGTCCGGCGCCATGACCGGCACAAAATCAAGAAGAGGCACAAGGCCAAGAAGAGGTTACCGCCATCTTCGCAGGCGTTCAAAAAGCATGGATTGAACCCGGAATCCCCTAAGGCAGGGCCATCCGATCCTTCGATCACAGACCATGAGCGAGCCAAGCCACGCTCCTTTGGTAGCTCTCAAGTCAATGCTCAGGAGCCAGGATCATCACACAAACATCCGCGGAAGTCACTGCAGCGTACTCCTCCATGTCAAGTGAGAACAGTGTGTGAGTCTGAGTTTGAGTTTGAATATAAAAATCCGACTCAGGCGAAGGCGTTGCTGAAGTCACGATTGGCTTTGCGATCACCTCCATCATCACCGCAAAAGGTCGTGGGCCTCAAGAATCCCACATTAGTCCCTGACTATGCATATGGGAACAAGACCGGTGAGGTACCATCGTCAGATCCAGACTCGGAATCTGGAAGAGGAAGCGATCCAGTCTCGCCATCCCCATCACCTCCCCCATCACTGCAAAAGATCGTCGACCTGAAATACGCCACCTTATTATCTGACCTCGACTGTCAGCACAACGCTTGTAGAGCATTGTTGTCAAATTCACCATCAAATTCACATTCAGTCACTGCAACTGGATCGGGAATGGAATCAGCCTTGCCATCGCCAGCATTGCCGGAAAGAGTGGTGGGCCACGAAAGGACCACACCAATGTCCCATTTTGGCCATTGGCAGCAGACGTGCGAAGTATCGATATCGGATACCGACAATGAGTCTGAAACTGCATCTGAAGCAAGACAGAGCTCAGAGCCGGAACTTTCCTCACCAATACCCTCACCATGCAAGAATTGCAAGATGACAGCGCGAAAACGAAAAATTTCAGACAACCACCAGGGCTCACAGCACAAGCCAGTAGTACCATATCCAGCCCCCTCATCATTGGAATGTCTGCCTGGATTTGAATCTGAACCCACGTTGCCAGTAGAGCGTGCCTGGTCTACCTTGTTATCGTTGGATGGAAGCACGCATCCAGAGCCCACTGTGCAAAACTTCAGAAGGGAGCACTGGCGCAAAGCCTGCGAGACAAAGGAACCACCATCACCATCCTCATCACGATTGGTTTCAATGATAGGGTCTGAGTCTCCATCAAAATATGTGTCCGAAACTGAATACGAACCACGGAGATCCGAATCTGAATCTCGATATCCATCGCCGACCCAATCGACAATAACACCAGTGTCATCTCCGCCTGTACCTCCAACTCTCTCCCGAGTTCGATCTCGGGTTCTTTCTTCGTTTCCCTCACCTCAACGCTGGTTGCCTAGACTAGAACGGCCAGACCAGGAAACATCATTGATCCCAACCGTGTGGGCCTCGCGTCTCCGGCATAGATGCGACATCAGGCGCCCCGAAGTCCCTTTCAAGATAGCCGGCAAAAGGTTCCCAAGACTCTTCGCCAAAATGCCACCTGGTGGTCACGAGAACATCGAGTTCAGATTCCCGGATACCTCCGACGATGATCCTGATTTTGATGACCCCAATTCTAAAATTCTAGAGGCTAAACGGCGTAGATTAGGGTTGACAGAACGTGAGGAATCACCTTCAGAGGCCCGGGTGTCGACAAACTCCGAGACCGAATCCGAGCCCGAGAGCGAGTCGGAGCCCGAGCCATTCATAGATCTCGGGGAACTGCTCGATCTGGCGAGATCGTCGAATCCCGAGCAATTGCCCGTGCTTGAAAGACCATCAGACCTCGAGAGCGAAAACCCGCACACCCCTACTTCCATCCGGAATGAGTTGCCGGTACGACAAACCAGGCAACTTAACAAGCGGATCGACGAGGCGGTTGTGATAGACAAGGAACAGAATCCCAAGTACTGGGGTGGCTCATGGATGAAGGAGTATGAGAGAGGGGGACAAATAAAGGAGCAAGTTGAGGCTGCGTACGGGCAAGAAATGAAGAAGAAGAAAGAAGATACGGAGAGAAAGAGAAGGGAAAAGCAGGAGAGGGAACAAATTCTAAAGGAGAAGAAGGAGAAAGAGAAGAAGAAAAGGGAAGAGGAGGAGAAGCAGAAGCAGGAGAGCCAAAGGAGAGAGCAGCTGGAACAACGGAGGGCGAGAGCGAGGGCAAATGACAAGCCCAAAGACGTTTTGTCAATGTTGCGGGAGATGTTAGACGACGAAAAAAGAACTGCAGGCGTTCAGACTCGGCCAGAACTTAGAGGGAATCAGAGCATTGCGGAGATGCAAAGACTGCAGATAGCCATTGATGCAGTCAAAATGTGGGAGCGAAAGAAGGAAAGGGCAAGGGAAATCGAAAGAGGAAAAAGGGGAGATATATGAAGCGCTAGCAAATGGTGGAAGCAACAGATGCAGTGGAATATTATCATTTACGATAAGAATTAACATCCTCAAGGTAGGCAAGGGAAAACAAATCATCGTGGTGGTATGGACAGATCTATTAGGGACAGTGCTGGGAAAATCATCAAGGCACGACCAGGGCAGTGTGGTGCAGACACCAAAATTCCTCTTGATGCCAAGGTCTTCATATATTGACACCCTAGACTTGCATAATACAAGATATGGGACACGAAAAACCAAAAACGAAAGCAAGGTGTGTTTCTAGATTACTCCCATGCATCTCCCCAATCATCATCGGCGTCTTCGTCTTTGGGTTTGGTGTCGATCTTCTTTGGTGCAACTACAGTCCGAGGCTTAGCGGTGTTTAGTGTTGACCGTGTTGTAACAGTGTTGGTAGATGCAGCCTTGGTCAGACCCTTTGGCAGAGGATTTTTGGCCTTGGTCTGAGACTTTGCAGCCAACCAGCCGGCAAAATCGGGTTCGCCGCCATCGTCGTAGGGTGTCACCGGGACTTTGCTCGATGAGGGAACAGGAGATGTGGGTTTGGGAGAGGTTACAGCGGCAGTGAATAAATCGTCGTCTTTTTCGTCGTCGTTCATCGCACCCCAGGCATCGAAAACGTCATCGCCCTCTTCTTCAGGCTCGTCGTAGGCCACCTGGGCTGGGCGATCTGACATTGACCGGTTTAAGGATTGAGCTGCGGGACGGAGGGCTTGTTTTGGTAGTTCAGCTGGGGTTGAGGGTGATGGTTTGGCAGGACGAGGGACCGACGCTGAGCGGGCAGTATCGGGATCAACAGTCTTGGTAGCGTTGGCGGTGGATTCAATCTCGCCGTGAGCTGTTGCGATTTTGTTTGTGAATGATGAAATGGCCCAGCCAGCCCAGGATTTATCATTGGGGGTTCCAACACGAGCATCGGATTTGTTAACTTCTGCAGGTGCCGCAGGGGGTATGACGGTATCTGGCATCGTGCTAGCATATTTCCGTATCCGCTGGATATAAAAATCAAGTGTCTTGTTTGCTTGGTCGCGGATCAATCTGCTCAGCAGTGAGAATAGGGCCAGAGTTTAGCGATCGAGCATACTACTTACTTTTCCTTGTCCAAAAGTCCAGGGCAGATAGCGGGTAAGATCTTAGAAGCACAATCTTCTTCGCTAAATACATCGACCGTCGCGGACAAAGCCAAAAGTCCTGCATTTCGAGCATGGACAAATGGATCTCTGATAGCTCTTGTAAATGCTGCAATAAGCACCTTGGATCGAGTCTGCACCAAATGTTAGCGACATGATCCAACATTATAGATAAATCACCTACACTTTGACCAAGGTTCTTAGCAATCCGGCCGAGACAAATGGTGGTGTTTGTCCGGATGCCAGGTTGCTCATCGTTAGCAGTGCGGGCGAGGAACTTCAACAGTTCGCCGTTGACAATCCGATCATTTAGTTTGTTGATGATAGTCAGAACAGCCTTCACTGTTTGCTCTCGAACCACCGGGGCGACATCGGTGAAGCCTGAAGTCTATGCCATTTTAGTACAAAGTGGATTACTCAAAATCGAACAGCTTACCATTTGAGGGAATATCTTGTCGTTGACAACTCTCTGGGGAAGATTATCGATCATTGACGGAAGGTTATCCAAGAGGCAGACCCGCAATGCTCGATCCGTGTTTCCAAATAAGCGGACGATAACAGGGGTTAGCTTAGCGTTAAATTCTTCTGGTGACAGCTTTGCTCCAATCTTCAAAGTAGCTCCAAGAACTTTCGGCCCGCCGCCACCAAACTCGACGGACTTGAGCAGCTCGGGGAGCACCTTCATCTTAAAGAATTCCTCGGGGAAGTCATCAGAGAGATTATCAAGCTCGCTACAAGTAGTGACACGTTAGTCAAGAGACCGTTACATGCAAGATCTTGGGAGTATACGCACTGGATAAATTCTTCACGCTCAGCGTCACTCTTGAGCCCCAGGCTGTCGATGTCTTCGGTCATTCGAATAAGTGGTGTCTGGAAGAATCCACCTTGTTTCTTTCCCTGCTCCACGAAATGCCCTGGGCTCAATCGTAGCTTCGGGTTGGCGGTGCAAAGACGCTTATAGCTCTGCTGCATGCTGGGAGGAATGTTCGTCGTCTTGCCAGCTTGGTCGCCGCCTGAGAACCCCCCATTAAAAACCTCGAATATCAAGATACCCAACCCGTAAGCATCGACTGCGGCCAAAGGATTACGCTTGATAGTGTCCCAGCCTGTTTTTACAACTTCCGGGGGCGTGTATCGACCGGCATCAGGCACACTGCTTCCGTATGTCTATGCAAGGAGTCAGTACATGGCATCATTCGGGCAGTCCCCAGATAGGGCCGAGCCACAATTTCTCACATAGATAATCGCATCGTCTTCCTTCATAGAGCTCAGAATGTCAAATCCTCCTAGCTTCCATTCGCCGCTCTCGCTTGTGAACACCGAGGATGCGCGCACGGCGCCGTGAACCGAAGAAGCATCGTCATTGATGAATTTGAGAGTGGACTGTCCGTAACAATTCCGTCAGCAATTCCCTGATACTAGTCTCCCCAAAATTTCGTACCGCCACGGTATACAACCCCCACTTGGCCGTCTCTTCGCTCAAGCTCCTCCGCTTCACCGGCCAGCTGAGTGGCTCGACTCGTTCCGTGACAATATAAAGAGTGTGCTCCGTCTATCAATTCGTAAGCATCTGTATCATAATCCCAAATCCAGACCAAAAGATCCGGGAGCCTAGTGTACCTCAATCGTATCCAGAACCTTAATAACACCAGGATGCCGCAACGTTCTAGACTTGCGCACCGCATTTTTCGCAAGAGGAAGGCGTGACTTGTTCGCATTGACATCAAATGTAAAGACGCTGCAAGTGGAACCGTCATCCTAAGCGTGACACGACATCGTCAGCCATTGACGCTCGCCCCGCGTGAAAGGAGCCAAAAAGCCACCGTACCCGTTTCGTACCGTTGTGCAGTGCCCAGACCGAATCACCGATGTCGACTCTGTCGCCGAGGGAAAATGGGAGTCCTCCGCCCTTCGCGATGGCAGATCCGATAGCTGATTTCAAGAAATCCATGGCCGCTTTGTGACCGATGTGGTAGATCGAGGATGGTTTGAGGCGTCCGGGGTTCGCAAGTCTGGGCGACCAATGGCCAAGGGGTCAATGTGCGGCTGGTTTTTGGGATTATATCAATAGGTCGGGTTGGTGAATGAAGAGTATCCAGAAACAACGTTCTCGCAAGTCAGAATAGCCAGACACATCATATGCCAGACTCCTTTCACCCGTCTTATCGTGATAAACACTGTTTGCCTAAGGCCACAACGCGCTCCTATAAAAGGAGCTCCACTTTTATCTTCCTTTTCCTCACCTCCATCCCACGATCCCACGCGTCTGATTTCGTCGCCAGATCATTGATGATACTTACGCTACTGCATTTACCTAAGTCAACACTCAGTCCCGGTAGGCATTCAATAGTCCTATTTATTAACCAGTAAGTTCCCATTTCCCCGCGTGTCAATTCAACCAGCAACACATGTCACCCCCCCTCCAATGATGCGAACTCTGGTAAAAGGTCAGACCAAGACTACAACATCACAAAAGAAGACTCGCCCAGCAAACCTGATGGTACTCCCGCAAACTCCAAAACCCCCGCAAGACACCACAAATCAACCCCGGAGCGAACGTCAAGAGCTACCACCTGGCGCGCACGAATCAACCATCTCTTTCCAACAGACTTCCCAACTATTGGATCAGCCGTGCTGGTGCCACACCACCACAGATCTGTGCCCAGACCACGACAACACTCTCTTCAGATCACACTTCCAATGACCAACTTCACACAACACCACTCCCCCCACTCTTCCAGCAGAACACAAATGTCTCCCATCGGAACGCTGGCAGGCAGCAGCCGGATCCTGGCCAACACCCCCGTGGCTCGTGGCCACGTCGGACAAAGCGGCGTTGGTCCTGGATCATGGGAGACATTGTGTATATTCATACTTCTGTCCGTCCTGAACCGTTACCGCATACGGGCTTGGCGTGTGCGCGCTCCGCTGCGATCTCGCTTTCAAATGCTCTAATATCTTTGCATATTGCCGTGTTATGTTGCTGAGGTCCGCCACGGGATCGTATCCCAGAGGCGATGTGGTGATAGTGCGCACGGTGCTGGGTCTATCGCGTGAGAAAGTATGGGAAACGGGGAAGTGATGCCGCTTTCTGGGGTTGCCGTGTCCACTTCGCTTCCATGAGGACGGTTCGGCGACCAATGGCTGTGGCTTAAAGGGCACGAGGGTTTAAGATTAGGAGAAGACGCGGTTTGGGTGGTTGGAGTGCATTCTCATGGTGTTCTTTGTGTTGGCCTAGAGTCGAACGTATTCTTTCTGGCAGCGTTCTGTTGGCTGTGCGGAGTACGGACTTCTCTAAAGTTTTCTCTTTGACTGCTTGGTGAATGGCATTCCTGGCTACCCTTTCTATCACTTCTTTCTTTTCTCTTTTTCATCTGTTGTGAAGAGTGGTGTGGGCATGTTACTGTGGGGGGTTAGAAGTTGGGAGACGGGGAGGGGTATTGGGGTTTGGGCTGGAGGTGTTTGGTTTTTGCGATGCTTGGAGATGTTTTTGGGGTTTGTCCTCGGGCTTGTCTATGGCTTGAGTGTGGTCAGAAGAGCTTGCAATGGGACGAAGCACCGCGGTGGGTTGATGTCTGGTGTCTGTGGCTTGGATGATGACACTGTTGTAATTCAACCTGAGGAGATACTTCCCCTTACACTTGACTCGTTTTTCATTCGAATTGGGGTGCTTTACATCTGCTGACATCTGCCACAGTTATCTAGCATTGCGGACATTCGGATTTGGTCCATTATGGGTTTTTACTTTAAGTATAGATGTGGGTGGTTTCTACACGAAAGGTTATACCTTGAAACGCTGTCTGCACATTCATAGGCCTTTTTCCGCGTTTGCCTTAGGTTTCTCCAGAAAATCTAAGAACTAGAAAAACGACTACCAAGAAGACATGAGTAACATAAGCGGCCTGATAATCTTGTAGCAGATTTACGCAAAATGGCAGAGGAAATTTTCATATAGCCATTTCATTGCCAAGTGGGCATGAGTCCACTCGAGCTATCTGTACTGTCAAGTTCAAGCAATGTCAACCACGCCTCACTCACTGCTCTGCTTCCTCCCCCAGACCGAGCACCTTCATTCACATCACCATCTGACGAATCGTCTCATTGCCGAGACACAACCCATTGCAGACCTCAATTCCTTCCATGGAAGTTGCAAAGACCAATGGGCCCATCAAGGGGACACACAGACCTTCAATCAACAACCGAGAAGAAAGAAAGGGAAGAGATAAACAGGGAAAAAAGAAAAAGGATAAGAGAAAACCAGAAGGAAGAGAACATCTCAGGTAAAAGAGAAACCCTCAAGACTTCAACTCGATGATGACACATGTGAAAGTGTTGTGCACTAGGTAGGCATACGACAAAGAGCTAGTTTGGATATCAAGTGCTCGATTTCATTGGTTTCATCGCCAAGAAATTCAGTTTCCATGTACACCACCAGATCGAGATCTGGAAAATAGATAGGCACAACTGGTAGATTGATCTTTCACGTCTGATCACAGGGTTAGCGGATGTTCTTCAACACCACAAAACTGTTCACTTACCGAGCATGTCTTGAGGCGACATGAAGTTCACCGCAGAATTCAATTGTTTTGAAGATCCCGTCGATGACGGAGAACATCTGACAGATGAAGACGCGGTCATGGAATAGTAACCAGGGTACTTGATTTGGTGGGTGCCAATATTGCAGAGCACGGACGAGTCACAGCTAAGCGAGAAGGTGTAGCATCATTCGAGGGAACCGCTCACGGCTTCATGATTCCAGAGGTTCATTTTCCTTCATCCGTTGCCTCAGCCGGGTGGGAAGCTCCGGGGGTTGATGCTGGGGTATTGGCAGACATCTGGGGTGGTATTTGAGGCATTTGGTTGAAGCCGTTGCTGGGTGTCCGATGCTGGCTTGGTGGGAAATGATGCGATTGATGAGGGCTTGAGGAAAAGTGGGGCTGCTGTGGGTAGTTGCCACGGTTGGGAGGCACTGGGATGGTTAAAAACTGGAGATGCTTGATGGGGGACTGTAGCCACACTCACTATGTGCCGACTGTTGAGGATATCCGGGCTGGCTGGGCATAAACATTAATGATTGAGGGGGCTGTCCAGATTGCGAGTTCTGGTGCATCATCATCGGCGCACCACGGCTAGGGCTTGGGTATCCACTATGCGGCTGGGGTGCATGTTGGGGATAGACGTGGCCCGGGTTCGGGGAGTACATGGGCATCTGTCCATTATACGGAGTCATACCTTGCGGGACTCCCATGTAGGGTCCATTCGAGGCCTGCTGCACCATCATAGGAGCGCCATTCACAAATTGAGGACCACCGCCCTGGAAAGGTCTCATGTGGCCAGGTTGGGGGCCACCGTAAAACTGCGGGACCGGCTGTGGGAAGGAAAGCTGGGCATGTGGGGCCATTGGGGACGGGTATCCATGTTGCATCCGCGGGGATGGGAAAACCTGTGAATTTGACGCGGACAACTGCATGCGGTGATGATCATCCACGTGGGAGGGGCCATGAAGGCCCTGAGAGTGAAGACCATGGGGTCCATTCGAGGGACCAGAAGATGGCGGCATGGCTGAGTTACCTTGCTGGAAGTGGAAGGGAACCTGATGCTGCTGGGGAAAATTGGTGTTGTTGGAGGTGGAGCGACCCTGGGGTGATACTGTCGGCACGCCGACAGGCTGTTTGAACAGCTGATCGTACGTCTTATCTTCGCTACCATCCGCTATGTCCCAAGTTGGCAAGGTCTTGTAGGGTGGCGGGATACCTCCATTCAAGGTAATCAACCTTTCAGCTGACTCTGCATTCTCCTTCTTCATGCGCTTGATAGGATTGAATTGGTCACTGATCGAGGGGCGTTCAGAGGCAGGCAGTGGCTTTCTTGGGCCGAAGAATGCAGTCGGTGTTGTGGCGCGTGACACAGAGCGGTTGCGAGAGAAAGGCTGTGGGCTTGCAACGGCTGCCGAAGTTCCAGGCGTGAAAGTGCTCGCTGCGGGGTTTGGCTTGAATTCCATAGCTTTGACATTGAACTTAGTTGCTGCGGAAGACCCGACCTGTGACTTAGCAGGGCTGGTGATTCTCTGCTGGTCGCTGGCGGGACCGGTCGGAGGCCCACGGGCATCTTGAATGGGAAGAGGAGTTGGAATAGGTCCCATCCCCGCGCCCTTTCGTTGCTGCAGATTGTCCGCTAGTCGATGACTGAGCATACCAACACCAGAGCGTCCCGGCGGAACAGCTTGCTGGGGAAATCGTCCACCAGTGCTAGCGAGCGGCCCAGTGGGAGGATAGCCCTGACGAGTGCGGTTGTAGTTCTGACGATCAGCGGGTGCAGATGGGGGCACAGCTCCAGTAGGTCCAGCACCACGAGTAGGTGGCTGTTGTTCCGTGGGAGGTGTAGTAGCCTTCGGCGTGGTCTTGTCGTCGCCCTGTTGCAGCGCTCGTTGCATGATTGCTTCCTGCTTTAGCCGGTCCTTGGCTAGGATAGGAACAAGGTCTTTCGGCACCGGAGTTAAGAGTTTGAAGCTCTTAGAAAACTTCATCAGCTCATTGAGTTTCATAGTTCGGTCATATGAGGCCTGATTGCGACGGCGCTCCTGCATCTTTAGTTTCTCGCTATTTGCGAACTGACGGAAGTGATCCAACACCTCTACCTCCACGTTTGCGGTCGCATTTTCAGGTACAGCCCGCTTTGCGGCTGGCACAGCAGGTGCAGTAGGCAATGCGGGTGTGACACTCTTGCCCAGGGCAGTTTTTCGCTCGGTATCTGTTGTGGGTTGCAGCGACGCGACCAGCTCGGCTTGCTTATCTGAGGGTGCAGCTTCCTTTGCCACAGCCTGAGGGGGGATGGGGATAGGAGCGGCGGGGGCCGGAGAAGAAACAGGCTGTTTTGTGGGTACACTGACAGTCGCAGTAGGCTGAGGAGCTGCCTGGCGGCGTCCAGGGGGCATGTACTTGTTTGGCTGGCCGGAAAGCAGAGGAGGGAAGGCTTTGTCTTCGCGGCGAACACCACTGTACTTGTCTTCTTCGTCTTGGTCGCCAGCATCCGGTGCCACAAGGCCACGCTCCTCGCGCATGTGGGAGTTGTCCACATCTTGTCCCTCAATCTCACGTGCGATCCGAGCTGCCTCCGCCTGTTTCTGTTTGTAGTTTGGATCCGAACGATCGAGACGAGTGGTGTAGATATTCTCATCATAATTGGTCTTGGCTCCGAAAAGACGCTCGTTTGCCTCAAACTGGTCCCATCCTGCAGAAGTGTTGCTTGTCTCAAGTGACATGTCAACGTCAGTCTCGGCAGGTTCCCAGCGCTGCAAGGTGCGCTCTCGCATGGCCAAATTTCCGGAGATATCAGTGTCGGTTCTGAAACCTTGGGAAGCACCTATGGTTTAGATTAGTATATTTATAAACGAATCTGACTAAACAAAACAACCCGTACCATTTGGCTCCTTGGCTGAAACTTCAGCTGTGGTAACGTTTGGAACGGCTATATCGACGACATCCTTAATATCGAATGACATGATGTATTCAGGCGCGGCGCCTATGTATGGACTTGCAACATCGCTGACGCCGTTTGCCCGAGGCTGACCCTCTGGCGAAGTTCGCTGAACCATCTTGAGTAGGAACGAAAGTTCATTGGGCTCCATGGTTGAAGAAGAGAAGATACCGGTAAACTTCTCTCCGGACTTGGTGGTAATAGTGGTGTGTAGGCCCTATGTAGCAGTTAAGAATCAATCAATAAGATGGTGGTGTGACTTGGCCTTACAATGAAGCTGGCGAATAAGAAGATAAGGCGGTCATGAGCATGGCTATCAGGGGTGTTTGACTCCTTTTGGTTAGGTCTCGGGGACCCAGACTGTTTCTGGTGGGCCATGTTGCCGTTCGATGAAGCGTATGAAGATCGTTGAGTGATGGGGTTGGTCCCTTGGGTCCAGGCCTTGTGGGAGTTTGTGCGCCTATGCCGTAGAACCTTGCGTTAGCGGTACTGGTCACAAAACAGAGAACAACAAAAAGTTTCTGCCATCTAATCCAACAGCTTCAATTGGCTCTTGCTGGCGCACAACTCGATGCAAGCCTGTAACAGACCTCACCGGCTCAAATGCGCGTGCACGAGTTCAATCGCCAGCAAGACAAGGAAAGGGCACAATAAGAACAAAGGGAAGATTCCCAAATCTGGAGGAGATGGAAATATACAACAACACACTGTCTGTGAGAAAGAGCTAAACATACCGTTGTCCGCCATCGACGGGGCTGCCCGACTGTCGTCGATTGTCGGACCCCTTGGTGCTGTTACTGGATCTCAAAGTGGATCGACTGGGGTTTGGGGCGCCCGCGCTGGCATTGCCAGACGCGTTGTTGACCGGCACAGAATTAATAGCGGAGGCCATTGATTGACTTTGGTGTCAGTCAGGGCAAGCTTGCGTCGTGGAACTTCACACGGCGGAAAGCCGCGAGGATGAGGCACAATGCCACAACACACACCGCCTGCACAAACAGGACTTGGGGGGGAAAGTGAGGGGGAAGGATAAGCAACCACCACACTGCGGAGATATCGGAATTCCAATGTCAGGATAACAAGGAGGGAGGAATGGAAGTGAAAGAACAGAAAGATAGAAAAAATAGAAGAAAGAGAGATGGGCTTGTCGCAAGTTGATGGGGGAAGGGGACTCTGGAGAGAAGTCACGCGTATGGTATTGTATTTGTGTTACACCCTATTTCTTTACTTTTTTTCTTTTTTCTTTTTTCTTTTTTCTTTTTTCTTTTTTCTTTTTTCTTTTTGTCTTTTTTTCTTTTTTGCTTTTTTGCTTTTTTGCTTTTTTGCTTTTTTGCTTTTTTTCTTTTTTTTGAGCTTTTTTGACTTAAAATATGCCAGTGGGAATACTGTTGTTGAGTTCACAAAGAAAGATATTCATTGTTCTTGTATGCATTCTGTGCTCTTGGACCTCCAACCCTAGGGATAGGGCCAGTTGCAAATGTTGCTGACAGTAGGTATACGGGTCAGGCTGAGGTAGCTTCCACGTCCATACATTGACCCCTCATAGAGTTTAAGAGTACACTACCATAATTCAGAATGACGGCATTTGTGCGATATAGGGCCAGTACCCATGAGCCCAATGAGATATAAATTTCTTTCCTTCTGATGCACAAAGCAGCTAACGTAACTACCAATAGAAACAAGCAAACCTGCATGGGTAGGTAATACATGTATATACATCATCTCCTATGCTGAACTACATTTATCTACCATTCACAGCGTCCCAAGCACTCGTCTCATTACTCAGATCATACTACAAAGCATGCTATTTTGTATCTGGCGATTATTTACCGATTTCTATGGCCAGTATACATATGCTCACTCCATTCAGATGTCATTTTCAAGGTCATACAGCATAGGTCACTGTACACATCTGGTTCCATGGGAACTTGCTCCGTCAGGTGGGGCTCTCCTATTTTAGCGGCCGTCATATACCTAGGTGACTCTTCGCTAAGTAGATTCCCGTGACTCAACAAGGTCCCCTGCGGGGCTTATGGTCCAATTTGTGTACCGCTGCAGAGAGGTTTTACAACTACTACTACTAACCTTTGGATTATCACCACCATAGCGCACTATCAATCTGCCTGGTGGAAATACCGCAATCATCGACATTCCCAACTAACGTTATGACCATTTGGCTCAGTGATGAAATAATCTTATGTAATCAATCGATGCACCCGGGGGCATCGGGGCCCCGGGGCTCCAGGTCCATGTGGACCTAGACCTAAATACAACATAGGTTCATTGGTTGCAACCTCAATGTTCTTTCCTCGGAAGTTTTCTTGTTAGCATTGCCGAGGTTATATCGGAAGTCGCCTGGTAAAAAAATAGTGGGTGCCCTGGATCATCGGTATAGTGGGAATGGTATTGAGCCGCATCGCTCAGATCGCCGATCTACCAATGTTGAAGTTACTTCATCAAGCGGCTGTGGGTCCTCGATAAATTCGAGTTTTCCAATCAGCATTGTATTCTAGTATTAGTTAGCGCCCTTTTGGATTTGGCAAATCGATGAAACGGGTATGCTATAGGAGATATCCATCTTCGGAAATATGTGATCATCCCTGATTATCCATGAAAAAGTCGATTTTCACTAATTAACCCTCTTCTCTGCCATTCTCAGTGGGATATCTTCGAAAATGAGAAGGGAGACAAAATTATACTGCTACTCTTCGAACCCGAAACATTGGCCATGCCAAATTGAGGCTTCAACCCCAAGGAGCATGTACAAAATGAAGTTAGCAGGGCATTACAACTTTAGATCACACCTGTCACACTCTTTGCGCCTTCCTTGCATCTTCTTGACTCTGCAATGACATTGCTGAATCCCCTTCTATGATTGTCGGGGCCGGGGATGTAGTTAGGCGTCACATTGGTTGGGCTGCCATATTGTGGGCTGGCAGGATTATTCATCGTGTGCTTGGTGGGCATGATGTTCATCCCCCGATGATGAAGAGAGTAACGGACTCTGTACGAAACATTTCAACAAGTGATGCAGGAAGACAACAGTAACAGAAACGAGTTACCCGTCCTACACCACAAATAAGTGTATTATGTTGTGTGTAGAAATATAAATAGAGCCGGAGTGGAGCTGAAGTGGAACAGTCAAAAAAGACAAGGCAAGGGTCTTATCAATCGGGTACTTATCAGTGGATGCGGTGAGGGATTAGCCCATTTATCGTTGCTTTGCTGTGTGCTAGTCGTATGTTCCATGTCCTGTGTATTGTGATTGTCCAAAGTACAGATAGCATGGGCATTTTATTTTAGGGTATCAAATTAGAAATCAATTTTCAATGGTCAATGAGTCTTATGTATCTATATAAATCGGATACTGCAGCTTGAACACGCGTTGCCCCAGTGCCTTGTACTTCATTACAGGGCTTTACAGTAATGTAAAGTATTTATGGTATTGGAGGGATCAATTGCTGCTGATCATCGGTTCGGGTATGGTAAGGTGCCAAGTTGACAGGAGGCTGGGCATCATCTTCACACATGCTTGGCATTCTCGCTCGCTTCTGCCCTATTTCTCACTTCTGTTCTCACCCCCTTGGTAATTTGATCTATCGTACTTATGCAGTCCTCAGGCATTTCACGGACTCAGTTCCCCTATCCCGAACATTTGGACCATCAAACATCCCCCGAACGACACTCGGGGTCTGGCAGTGCCGACACATCCATGACTTCCCAGCAGTCCGGCCGCAGTTCCTCCGCCTCGTCTCGATCCCAGTCCAGCAAGAGTCAGGTAAGTCTCCAGCTGCCTGTATATCACCTAAAATTCGGTGGCTAATGAACCGGTCTTTTCCCCCACCGCACAGCCTGATAAGCAAATATCCCAAATTGAAAAGAGCGTCACGCACCTCTTGGTTGCGACAAAACAACTCCTCGAAACCTTAACGCAATGGTCTCGGAAGCAAGCATCGGAGAACGATGTGTCGGATGTATACGTTCGATTGGGCTATGAATTTAACTTGGCTTGCCGGGCTTTCAGTGCCATCGGAGTCGATACTTCAGACCTCGGTCCCGTACCAGACCTGCTTCGCACCATACTTGAGGACACTCTCAGTCAAGACGCATCTTCCCAAAGCCTCGATAGATACCTCCCCCGAATTCGAGATATAATTATCAACTTGTTAAAAGGGCTGAAGAAGAAGCAAGCTCGCTTGAGGTCCCGGCACCAGCGCGAAGATAGCCGGCTCGCAACGGGACGGCAAGCCAGTGCAGGAAGCATTGCTAATGGGCAGGCAATCGGTCAGCTGTATGATGATGCTGCAGCGTCCACCATGTCGTCGACAGCCCAGTCCCCAAGAAAATCAAACCAACGGTTCGGCAGCGGCGGATCGCTGGAGGACCAACCAGCCATTTCTCGAACCTCCTCGGCACCTTCGAAATCCGAATCACGCACGTCAAACTACGCCGAAAGAGAATTATCACGGCGGGAGGCCCAGCAAATGCTGTCTCAACCCGGCCCCTTCGATAATGATGCAACCCCTCGAGCCAACGCATCCAACACCACTGTGCCTTCAACATATATTACACCCGCCGGGTTCTCTGCACCCCCACCTCCACCTCCGCCCAAGGAGGATGACGCATTGGGGGCTTTGCAACGAAGTGGAGAGCTTGAGCGACGTGCCTCGCGTCGATTCTCTGCCTATCAAATTCAGAAACATCTGGGCACATCTACCAACGGTGTCCCTGTCCTGCCTACTCAGAACTCTCCCATTCCCAATCGCGGTCGTGATGTCCGCGAATCTTTGAATGCAGTTCGTCTGCGGGGCTCCTTTGCCCATACAAAGCACCGATCCAACAAGAGCTTGCAGGAAGCCTCCAAAGGTGCGCAAGCTCCCCCACCAGCAAATATCCCAGATGTCGTGGAAGAAGAGCGCACTCCTCCTCCTGTTGCAACTCCAATAGAGCCACGAGTAATCGATCCTGCACCATCCAAGGCGCCCAGCGAAGCTGATGCTCATAACGAGAAAGACCATGCCGTGGAATCTGCCATCGTTCCTCCGCCGATCATCCCCGTACCCCAAGAGAAGCCAACCCTCGAAGACGCTTTTGAGCCCGCAAAATCAACACCCCTTACCCCGAAGGCGGGCTCCTTTAGACCGTCCACCGAGATCGCAACACCACTATCAGCTATTCAATTTTCCACTGAGCAACCCTCACCGAGCAAAGAGCTCACGCTGTTCCTACAATATAAAAGCAAAATAAAGAAGTACATGCTCCCAGAGGGAATTGCGGAGCTCACTATTGGGCGCCTGCAGCTTGCTTTTATTGAAAAGTTTGCCTGGAACACCCATGACAATGGCGTTGATTTACCGGAAATTTATATACAAGACCCAATTTCAGGCATCCGTCATGAACTAGAAGATCTTACCGACGTCAAAGATCGGTCCGTGTTGGTGCTTAACGTTGACAATCTCGATGAGGTCAAGAAACATTTCGATGACAGCCTTGGAAGCGTGCGTCTCTTAGTCGAAGGCGTCAAAGAGACGCTTTCTGGCCAAGGAAATATCATCCAGCGGGTTTCGGATCGCCAGCTCGAAGCTGCCAAAGAAATTGCTCGCTTGGCTGCTGCCCCTACAACCCTCTCCGGTCCAGCTGCCTCTGAAGGGAGTTCCAAGACATTGATAGCCGGCAGCGGAAGTCAAATTGCCGAGCTTCAGAGCTTACGTCGTGACTTGGCTGTCCTGCGTCAGACCTATTCCAACTTTACTGCTGACATCACCGGTTCAATGAGCGCAGTCCGTGCCAAGGCAAGCAAAGTCAAGACTGCCGCTGCTGATGTTGCCACTCCGTCCTTTGAAGGTGATGCTGGCCGTGCTCGCGTCAACACTGGCAAGAAGGAACTTGCAGGTGAATCGGAGCGGCTGGTCGCTCGCGTCGATGACCTCCAAGATCTGGTTGAAGATCTTCGGAAGGATGTAGTGGCCCGTGGTGTTCGTCCTCTCCCAAGACAGTTGGAGGTTGTTGGCCGTGACATTAGCATAGTCATGAAAGAAATTAAGAAGATGCAGGACTTCCTGGCTCGCGAGAAGCCTATCTGGACCAAGATCTGGGAGAAGGAGCTACAGCTGGTTTGCGAAGAACGAGACCAGCTTACCATGCAGGAGGATCTCGCTGCCGACTTGCAAGACGATCTCGAGAAGGCAACACAAACCTTCGCCCTGGTGGAGCAAGCTACAAAGGAGCAGGTCTCAACAAATACAACCGGTGGTACCGTTGTCCGCGCCCCATCAAGGACCCTTGAAATTGACCCCACCGTTGATCCCATGAAAGCTAAGGATGGTGTCCTTGGCGAGGTCCGTGCTTTGCAACCCAACCACGAAAGCCGACTAGAGGCCATTGAAAGAGCCGAGAAAGCCCGGAAGAAGGAGCTTGAGACTCGGCGGATCGGCCTTTTCCAGAAGGAACTCGGAGCATTTGTCGACGAAGGCAAATTGAAGAAGAGCGGTGGTTTCGAAGAGACTGAGCGCCTTCGTACTGCGAAGGACGAACGCATCCGCAAAGAAGTCTGGGATAGACAGCAGGCCCGCAATGCCGAGATGGAGAAGGCGGAGGCGGAAGCCGCTGCGGCGCAGGCAGCGGAGCAAAATAATGAGGGCGGGAGTGATGATGATCAGCTAGTAGACGAGAAGGAAGCGAATCCAGAGGATGCGGAGAAGGCAGAAGAGCCCAAATCGCCATCTTCTGAAATAGGGAAGGAACCCCCAGAAGCAGAGGATAAGGAAGACAACGCCACTGCTGAACAACCCTCTCCTTGATTCTATGTCGATCCAAAGACGTTCATCCATCCTCCAACCTATCCTCAGTCTAGTCATATCCAACCCTACGAAGTTTTATGTCGAACCTCTCATTGCCAGACGCACGTGAAATTGGATCCACACAAATTTTCTCTTTGTTTATTGCACCTGACATCGCACTGGGGCCTTAATTCTATTCATCTCAACTTGTTGATACCTTTTGGCGTGTTTCCTGCGCGAGAGCCTCTCATGTGATTTGCTGACGATACCCTGCCATACTCCATGGTGTACTACTAGGATTTGGCCTTTGATTTTGCGAATGGCATGAGCAACTTTTAAATCAGCGTTAGAATTCCTTGGTTTGGTGTGGCAGTTGCATGTAGTCTCTTCATATCGTATTTCAAACACTAACACAGATAGGGAAAAAAAACCCCTCCCAATGCTATACAACATAAATATACTGTAAAGAATCCCACGGAGTGTCACTACAGCTCTATATAACTTGACCTGTCAGTCCTGCAAGCTAATGCGTAGTAGCGGTGTGCGGTGTGCGCCTCCTGCATCCTACAGTCACCAGCCACCTTTCCATGCATATTTGCAGCCTTTTAGAAAACTCAATGCGCCCTTGAATTATTTCTGGATCGATAAGTACCTTTTATCTAAAATTCATCAAATTCGACTTTGGGTTGGATGGTACGAGGGGCTAAACATATATTTGCACTGTTGCACCCAACTCGAAATTTCTTTCCCAACCAACTTTTCCACAGCTCTTGTTGGTGAAACAAACATCTGAGACAACTATTCAGCTACTAGTTAGTACCCCAACCCGACCATTTCCACTGGCCGCAGTCTAAACGAACTCGAATTCCTTTCTGTTCGCGATGCTCAGCGGCAGCATGCAGCTCCTCCACGCCCTCACTATTTTTTTTTCACTACCTCAGTTTGCGACATTGGTCTCAGCAGAGAGCACAAACCCCTCTGCGGATTTTGAATCCAAAGAGGCTGATACTCCATCACTTCCAGCAAAACTCATCCTACAGCGCAATGCCGCGATATCATCCCAGCTCGCAGCAGGGCCAGCCTTCGGGGTGAAGAAAATGAGCGACGACGAAGGCGAGAAATTCTTCCTCCACTACTGGAGTTTCGGAGATGACTTTTCGTCAAGTAATATCTCCGAGCGACACCTTTCCGATGAAGACGGATTTTCCCCCGCGCGCTTTGTGGCCCAATCATACCCATTTGGACCATCGTATTCCTTGGGCACAGATGGGGATAGTGAATTGTTTCCCCAGAACTACAATGATAGCGCAAACAATCTGTTTGAGAAACGAGACTTCAAGTGCCCGACTGGGACAACATCGTGCACATCCATCGGTCGATCTGATCGCTGCTGTGGGTCCGGGGAGACGTGCGAGATCGTCGCTGATACGGGGCATGGCGATGTAGGCTGCTGTCCTAGTTGGACAACGTGCTCGGGGATGATTGGGTCGTGCAATAATGGGTATACGGCTTGCTCGCAGGCTTTAGGGGGTGGATGTTGTATTCCGGGGTATGATTGTGTTGAAGGGGGATGTGAGTGGACTGTCTTTTTTTTAATCTCTTCCTCATTCCAATATGGGTTGGGCTCTGGGAGTAAAACCGTTGAAACTAATTGTTTGACTAGGTGCATACATTAGTGTGGTTACGGTGACTGTTCATTCGACCGTGGTGTTGTCTACTGTGACCTACTCGACCAAACCGCAGGATAGCACTTCCACCTCCACTCCCTGCTCTTCTCCGACGACTTCTTCCCATCGCAGCATATCCACAACAGACGAAAGTCTGGCACCGCCAGCACGGCCTACGAGCCTTTCAACAGAAACCAGTATCACCAGCGGCAATGACGTGTGCCCGACTGGTTTCTACGCCTGCTCCGCCGTCTACCAGGGTGGTTGCTGTCGTACCGGCCGAGACTGCCACACGACCTCATGCCCGACCACATCTTCGACGACCATGATATCAAACGGCGTAACGATTGTAGCGCCCGTCGCGACAACGACGCACCGTTCTGGAGGAAACCAGTGCGCTCGGGGCTGGTTTCACTGTGCTGACACCGTGGGCGGAGGATGCTGTCCCATGGGATTTGCCTGTGGTGCTAGCTGTACTGCACGGAACATCGCGTTTGGGACGACTGTTGCCAAGGAACAAGCGACCGCGGCTAGCGGAGATGGTGTGATGTATCGGGTTAGCGAAAAGATGTTGGGGATGATGCTGGGAATTAGTGTGGGAATTTTGATGTAAGGAGAAAAAAAAGCATGAATAAACTATCATGACAATACAGATGAATATAAATGGATGACAACAAACCTGCAAACAGCTTGGAATGGGAATTTTATAGAAGCTCTCCCCACGGGGGTTTAGTAATCAGGCTAAAACGTTCACGGGTATCCGTGGAACAGGCTGCTGCACTCGGACCTGATCACCGAATCTCGCCGACACCGGCAACCTCCGCTCTTCTTACTTCTTCTTTCTCCCAACCCTCGTTCTTTCTAGGTCTTGTTAGTTAGTATGTGACTTGATCGCAAAACGTTTCTTTTCGATCCTTTTGCGACCATAAATTAATCTAATTATGACCCCATACTGACATCCCACATCTCAAGCCGCCATCATGTCCGAAACTCCCCAGAAGCCTCTCCCCTTCGTCTACCAGTTCGCCGCCGGTGCGGTGGCTGGTGTTTCAGAGGTATGTGTCTTTAATCTGCTCTGGAGAGTGATTCCAACTTGATTCGTTGTGTTGGAATCACTCACGAGGTGCTCTATTGACTAACATGTCTATCCCCGCACGAGCAGATCCTGATCATGTACGGCTCTCCACTTCCCTTATTTGATCGCATAACCACTCCCATTGGAGAAATTCTCGGCAAAGCGTAAAATTTTGATTTAATTGACGATGAGTGACTCACAGGTACCCTCTGGACGTGCTCAAGACTCGAATGTAAGCAAGCCGCCGGTCGCAAGAAACACCGACCTCACATGACACGGGCTAACAATATTCTCTTGCAGTCAGCTTCAGACCGGGCCCGCTGTTCCTGGTGTCGATCACTACAATGGAATGTTTGACTGCTTCCGCAAGATTGTTAAGAACGAGGGGTATGACATTACCCCAGCGAAGCAAAGACGGCTCTCTCTCTCTCTCTCTCTCTCTAACATGTGAAAACGTTTACAGTGCTTCCCGTTTATATCGCGGTATCTCCGCGCCGATCCTGATGGAGGCACCTAAGCGTGCTACTAAGTTCGCCGCCAACGACAGTTGGGGCGCTTTCTACCGCAACCTTTTCGGTGTCGACAAGCAGACCCAAGGCCTGGCTACTCTGACCGGAGCCACGGCCGGAGCAACTGAAGCTTTCGTAGTGGTTCCTTTCGAGCTGGTCAAGATCCGTCTGCAGGATAAGGCCCAGGCACACAAGTACAACGGCATGTTCGACGTTGTGAAGAAGATCGTGGCCGCAGAAGGCCCTCTGGCAATGTACAACGGCCTTGAGTCGACAATGTGGCGCCACATTCTGTGGAACGCAGGTTACTTCGGCTGTATCTTCCAAGTCCGCGCTCAGCTGCCTGCCGTCGAGCCCGGCAATAAGAACCAGCAGACCCGCAACGACTTGATCGCTGGTAGCATTGGTGGTATCACTGGTACTATCCTCAACACTCCCATGGACGTCGTCAAGTCCCGTATCCAAAATACTGCCAAGGTTCCCGGTCAGGTCGCCAAGTACAACTGGGCCTGGCCTGCTCTTGGCACCGTTATGAAGGAAGAGGGCTTCGCTGCCTTGTATAAGGGCTTCACACCCAAGGTGCTGCGTCTCGGCCCTGGCGGTGGTATTTTGCTTGTTGTCTACACCGGTGTCATGGATTTCTTCCGCAAAATGCGTGATGAGAAGTAAATGGTTCGCGCCTGTTGTGGTTGAACTTTTTGATACGAAGTGTTTCTCTTGAGAAGCATCCAGGTGAACGGGTATTCACATCTGACCCTGACCCCTTTGCCCCGATACCCTCTTCCACCATCTTTTCTGCCTTGGATTCAGAGTTGAAAGAACATGTGGAGGAAGTTGTGATTTTGATTTCTTGTCTTTCCACACTACCCTCTTGTCATCATACAATAGAGAATGCCACCAGATGGACATAAAAACAAAAGAAAACGATGAACTCATGTGTTTCGTCAATTCTATCAAAATACCAATCTTCATGCATATCTATCTGCCCAAATTGAAGACAACAAGCATAAGAAAACACCTAACCAGGCAATGCATCAAAGAACACCCCCGACATACCCGTGACAACCTCACGCAATTCCCTCCGAAGAAGGCCCCAAATCTTCCTTCCCGGATCGATCAACCTGAACCCTCTCCTCAGGCTCCCACATAGCCTCCCTCATAAACTTGCCCCTCTCCCGAATCTGGGGACCCTTGAAAACCAAAATAACAGGCACAATGGACAACGCAACCCCGATAAACCCGAGCAATGTCCCCGCCCATCCGAACCCAAGATCCCCAAATAACTGCGACGAAGCAAGCGGCAAAAACGCACCAAAAGCATTTCTGCCAAGCGAGGCAGCTGACAAAGCCGACGCCGCATACCGTTCATAAGCATCAGTCAGATAATTAACAACAGCCATGTAAATCGAGTAAATTCCAATCCCTGCAGCCATGATACCAATAGTCGGCACGATCCAATGAATATCAGGCTGACTAGCCCATCCATACCAGAACAGACCGGCAGCAAAGAGCAGACTACCCAGGATAGACGTATACAGTCTTGCCTCGGGGATGGGTTTACCGGGTTTCTCCTTATTGCGCCGCTCGGAGCGGAGATAGAACCAGTCTTGTAGTGGGTTGATAGCTGTTCCGATGATCGCGCCCACAGAGATGGCGAGCTGCACGAGGCCTGTTCCCAGCGTGCCCCAGCCGTAGTTTGTGGAGTAGGTTTGAACGACGCTGGGGAAGAAGAGGTAGAGGATGCCCCAGGCGAAACTGATCCACAACGTGAAGAAGATCACCACTGGCTTGGTGAGGAGCATCTTTGTCGGGCGTTGGAATGAGATTTTCAGCAGACGGAGTTTGCTTGGTGCATCGATTTCCGAGGCAGCGTACACCGGGCGGTTGGTTTCCTTGCGGATCTTGCGTGCACGCTTCTTACGGATCACGTCTGGGCGGGTTTCGTTGAGGATGAGCCAGAATACCGGGATCAAAGCTGCGTTATAGATGATTTGGATGTAGAAGATCCTGAAGAGGCGGTTAGTATGATTGGTTTCTCCTTGGACGGTTGGAAATTTGTGATCTTTGCGGAGGAAAAGGCTTGCAACCTACCAACGCCACGGCTCTGATTTCTGAATCTGCACAATGGCTGATCCAATAAACGGACTAAGTGCAATACCGACAACACTCGTGAATCCGAATATAGACATCGGCAGACTGCGAGCATGGTCACCGAGCCACACATCGGAGATACTTCCACCGACGATATTGATCGAAACGGAAGAAGCACCGCCACCGAAGAACCTTGTCACAACTAGTGTTGCGAAGTTCTGTGCAAAGGCGGATGGAAAGAGCGAGATGACCAAGATCACATATGCCACGAAGTATCCAGGCATGCGGCCGGAGGCTTCGGTCAGAGGGACGAAGATAAGTGGTCAGAAGGCAGCACCCATGTTCCAGGAAGTGGTGGCCCAGTATAGGTTTGGGAAGGGAGAGTTCTGGACGTTGAATTCTTTCTCCATCCAGTCGTTGCCAGAGCCGTATGTTCCTGCAGGCAGACCGGTCAGGATGGATCTGAGGTGTTGTTAGTTGGATGGTTTTGAGGTTGTGTATAGCGTTATGGGATGTTATCTCTCACATGAAGCATACGGTGATCATTAGCAGCCATTTATATTTGAGGCTCCAATTGAAGGGATTCTCAGGGTCATCGGGCCCATCCCAGGTGTGAATTTCGATATCTTTGTACGCGGGCATTTCTTCCCTAGCATCTTGGATCAGCATTCTCCGGATTCTGTGAATGTGTTAGTAGTCTTGCTTAGTTCTCCATTGCATGAGAGAAATCCAGAGTATGGAGCTTGGGAACACAAACTTGGCAATCAAACCTGACTTCTTCCATTCTTTTGCAGCAACGGGCTTCTCAGCCGGTGAGGGCGTTTCGATGACAGGCTGTTCAACCTGATAGACCGAATTACCACGGATCTCATCTTGATCCGCCATGATGAGAAACCTACTACAGCTTCCCTGCGCTCAACGGGTTAAAAAATCGAACCTGTCTAGAGAAAAATGGGTGAAATAGCACAAATATAACGAACCACAGTTGGAACAGATCGGCGATGGAAGTCCTTACATAATTATTATACAACATTGAACCTTGGTACCCCTTGCCCTGGTGGAAGCTATCAAGATCCGAACCGAGCAATCGGCATACCGAAAGCCAAAATCCGACATCAACGTCGGGTACCCGGTCAGAATGGAGAGAGTATTGGTTGGTGCCCACTTGCATCCACTTAGACTCAATACCCACTTAATGTGCTTTTTTGGACCTTTCTTTTTTCTTCTTGACGCCACTGACATATGGCTTCTGGTTCCTGGTCCTAGTTTAATGTCCTTTCTAAAACGAACAAGGTCTAGCCAGCCTCTGCCTTGTTTTGTGTGTCCGAAGTTCCACTGGTGTCTTCAAATTCTGCACCCTGGTGTCGTCATTGAGGGTGTTTTGTTTGCTCGGTTCAAGTCGGATGCTTATCATGCCGATTGAAGCCTATGCACTTGGGTTTTGTTTTTTGACCGCACAAGCATTCTGTGCCGGATGAGATTCGGTTTGACATTGTCCAATGCTTGTACCAACGGTGTTATACGAAATAGTACAGTGAAACTCCGGTTGAACTCTACTAGTTATTTTCAAGGCACTAAAAAAAATAACTCTCTTCAGACAGTGTTTTCAAATGGTGGAATTGGTCAGAGCTAAAGACTACTACCTCAAAAGCCAGATGCTATCCATACTTGGTATGATGCATAGCATGTGTCGCAGAAAGCCAGGAGGGCAAAAAGAATTGACCGACGCAGGGATCGAACCTGCAATCTCTTGATTCGTAGTCAAGCGCCTTGCCATTGGGCCAGCCGGCCGCTCTTATATTGATGGAATCAACAAGTGTGTCTTATGACCGAAAATACTAGTTTTTTAGGGCATGGCCCATCTTTTTCCTCATCCGGACTTTTGTTCATTGAAGAACATGGTGACTTTATGTAACGCCTTGATCTGACTATGGGTTAACAATTCTTTCAGCTGCCATCCTCTGCTTTAATAATCTAGGGTCAGCTTTGCCCTGCCCTAGGGTCAATTCTGGTATCCTTCCTCAAACTGCACTGGTAGTAGTTTGGGGCGCCTTTGCCCAACTCTGAACACGGGAGTGGGCGCTTAGGGATTCCTAAGAAGTTGATACTGAGGAATAGGGAGAAGAAACTATTGTAACAGGCGCATAGGGAGAGAGGTGCTAGATGTAGGCAATTTGGTTTCCTAAAGACAACAGAGCTCGCAATGGCACATTCGCTTGCTCGACATCATAACACGACGTTCTGAAACCATTAAAGTAGGACTTGCGCTCATTTGAACAGCAGAATTGGGAGGCATTACCTTGATGTGGTTTGGAAGCATAAACGGATGATCATTAATCAAAGATCGTGAGAGTAAAAGAAAAGAAAGAGGAGCAGAAAGAGCGGGCGATAGAGAGGTAGGAGGGTGGGGTAGGATAGGATTGTGAAGAGAGAAAAGAGGATAAATGGAATGTGGTCAAGAGAGCATCATCCACCTAGAGGTTCTCTGTCTTCTTCTAGCTAGAATTGCATTCAATGACCATGTGGTTGGATGAAAAATTAGGAATGTGTTCCGCGGGTCCGCCAATAGCTATGGAGCCCAAATGCTAAGCCATGACTTTATCAAAGGGCTCACACAAGAACTGGAGTTCGATCTGGGTGCAGACAGAGCAAATGGTTAGACTTTCAGCAACTGAATAAAGCTGATGCCTCTCCATAGATGTGCACGCACCAACTGATTTAGGATCCTCAGCCTACACTGTCTCATGGGGGGGTACGGTGAGATGGTGGTCGAGAGGGTTGGGGAGAGGAAGAAGAGAAGAGGAGGAATGGGGGTGAGGACCATTTTATACCCCGCGTACCTTCCTAAATTAGACAGTTCCCGCACCTTCCTCTTGAACACACTTCGTTGTCATGGTCCTATGATAAGAACAAACAAGTATCCCTACCATTGGGACTTGTAGGCAGATCCAAGATTATCTTATAGGAAGTTACCGTAGTTGCAGAAGTTATACAACCCTGAAAAGAGAGAGCAGCGAAAAGGGGATGTAGGATTAGAATGAGTTATGAGACAACTACAACATTAAAAGAGCAGAAATCACTCGACGACACGCTCCACTTCCTGATTAATAAATAGTCCAAAGACGCTATGATATAGACAAGTCCATGTCTAGGTGTAAAACGTCCTCTCTAAGCCGACGCCTCAGGAAACGTGCTTTGCAATCTTGAAGATGATAAAGCAGGAAAAAACATGGCACCATCTAGCCAGAGTCTCAACATCATACGGAGGAAGAAATACCCGAAGCCAGGGAGTAATCTCTGGAGGTGCAATGGATCGGATATAAGAACCCCAGAATTCAAGTTCAACAGTGCTGATCTGCCGCAAATTTCACTACACTCGATTTACGTCGCATTGGATCATAGATTTCCATATCTCTCTTTTGATTTCTGTCATACAGATGTTCAGTGGTTCACTATTTCCCTAGGTGTCGAAGCTCAAACTGTGCCCGGTGCAACTGCTTGATGTTACTATTGTAGTTTTCCACCAGGGAGGCGTACGACATCCGAGCACCTTCAATCTCTTGCTTTAGATTCTCGTTCTCCTTCAGCTGTTTCGCGTTGGCCCGGCGAAGGGCCATATTCTCCGCATGGAGAAGCTGGAGGCTTGTCTTGCCTGTCTTAGGATCGATAGCAGTTGCCTTTCGTAAACAACGTTGATAGTAGTTTCGTTCCTTAGCCAAGCTCTGGATACGAGACCTTGCATTTTCAAGCTCGCGAGAGGATGGGGTGGCTGGAACAGGAGGGGAAATTGTTGCCACGGGGGCAAATGGTGAAACGTGCTGGGCATAGCCCTTGTGGCTTGTCAACGCTCGCGGAAGCCGCACGGTGTGAGGAATGGCACTGGCCTGTTAAACACGGTCAGTAAATCTTCCTGATATAGATTGAGTCAATTTCTAGTTGGCACTCACAATTACATTCGTTGGGGCGTTCGACGGTGCCACTGTAGCTGCAGTATGTTGAGGAGGGGAGGGAGTCGACGGAGTGGTGCTAGGAGTCCCAAGGGCATCGACAGATGAGGAGCGAGGAGACTCAAATAAAGAGTTGGGCGATTCCATATCCTGGGCGGGTTGTCCAACTGTCTCTTCCTCAACGGGCCGAGAAGCAGAGGGTGGCACGATAGCATTGGCGAAATTGGCCTGGGCGATGAGATTCTCCCACTTGCGAACCTTGTCAGCGTCAGTGTCCTCCGGGGTATATGCGATCCCAATCGAAGGGTCGTAGGTCGTTCGCCTGTATGGTGCATGGATAGGGAGATTGTTGGATACTGCCTGGGCAGAGTGGTTGACAGGTGTAGTTGAGCTGGGCTGGCCAAAATCGGACTGGTTGAGCCCATCGAGAATAACACCGGCATAGCACTCATCAAAGCTACCCAAGAGCTCGGGTATTTCATAGCTGTTGAAGTCATTGGAAGCATTGAAAGTTCCCTCCGCATCGAGGTTGGCAAGGCCATTGAAAAAGGCCTGGGAGTCGAAATTTAGCTGATCAAGCCCAGAAGAAGGTTGGTTGCAGTTGATTCGATCCATGATGATCGAGAAGGGGTATTAGTGTTGGAAATTATTTAAAATGGTTGAGGAGAGAAGAAGATGTTGCGGAAGGGAAGAAGAGATGGAAGGAGTGTCGAGTGGTGACGGCAATAACCGTCAAGGAAGGAGTTAGGGCTCATACACTGGGACAAAAGAGCAAAAAATAACAAAGGAAATGACATAGCTATTGTCCTAAACTGATCAATAGATATCAATACGGGTCAATAGAGACGACAAACTCACGATGCAGTTCAACTGCAATGACATGTTTTTTTTCTGCCGTCCAACCAATTATTTTGCCAGAGGTTAAACTTTCTGCTGGCCAATCACATATCAGTCCCTCGCCTTCGGACCCACCACTAAATGTACCGCCTCATCTAGTCAGAGACTCGAGATTAACCAAGTTTGACAGCACGAGGAATTCATCAGGAAAGTCTTTCCAAAATATGTGAAACCAAAAAGAAACCAACATATGAGACCTATCACCTTCTCTAGGAAGTCGTGAATGGATCTCGTTAGACAGAAAACAACTCCTAACTATTGTTCTGCTTCCCATCTTGACCGCCTCCCCTTTAGGTGCTACTGTCTTATCTTCCCACCGCCCTCATCTTGTCGACTTATCGTCACACATCGACACCGCTCTGCTCACGTGGACCAAGAATCACGTGCTGGTCATGGCAGAAAATGGGACTCCATCCGACGTTCGGGCTGGGCCGTCTCGCCTTGACAGCTCCTCCAACGCCTCAAGGGACTCTAGTGGTACCCAAAACGAGGAAATCTCAAATATCGGTTATTTCTCCCACTACACTCCACTGGCCTCAGCCCTGGCGAATATGAGCGTCATTCTATGCACCGGTACGTGGAACACCGCAAGGAGCTCCCCGCATTTTTCCAGGCATTGAGCTAATTACCTTGGTTGCATATTTTAGCGGGGTACGACCATACCATTCGGTAAGTTGAGGCTCAACTAGCCACATGCAGCGTTTATCCAGCACTCGCAGAGCGACAATTTGCATGAAGACTCTTGCTTACTATTTATCTGCTAGCTTCTGGGAAGCGCTCTCGGGTATCTGTTCACGTACAATTCAGCATCCAGACTCGCAAGTCAATCGTCTTTGCATCACTCCGGACAAGAGGTTTCTGGCTGCCGCGGGCCATAACAATGTCAAGCTCTTTGACATAAAGTCAACCAATCCCAATCCCGTGATTACCTTTGAAGGTCACACGAACAACATCACCGGTGTGGCATTCCACTGCGAAGGGAAATGGATGGTCACCAGCTCTGAGGACGGAACTGTTAAGGTCTGGGATACTCGTACTGGTAGTCTGCAGCGGAACTACGTCCACCGGGCTGCAGTCAATGATGTGGTAATCCATCCCAACCAGGGAGAGCTCATCAGTGGTGACCACGCCGGCATGGTCCGCGTCTGGGACTTGGGTGAGAGCGTTTGTACTCATCAATTGATTCCGGAGGAGGACACTGCGGTTCTCAGTGTAAGCGTTGCCAGTGATGGATCGTTGCTTTGCGCTGGAAATAAGAAGGTGCGTGATCTTACAAACAAGGAGCATTGTATGGTCCTTTACTAAAGTTTTGACAGGGCAATGTCTACTTGTGGCGCATGGTCCAAACCGATGAAACTACCCGCATCATCCCAGTCTGTACCTTCCAAGCTCACAAGGACTACCTCACTCGTGTCCTACTTTCTCCTGACGTCAAACACCTTGCAACCTGCTCTGCGGATCATACTGCCAAGGTTTGGAATCTCGACACCGAATTTCCCCCTGCCAAATTGGCATTGAAGCAATGGAAGGAGAAAGAGGCATTGAACCCTCCGGTTGAAACACCGGCCGAAGCTCCGGTAGCCTCTGTCGAGGTTCCCGCCCAGTCTCGGGATCTGCTCCGCATTTTTGACGCACCCATTCAAGACCGTGATCTCCTCCGTATTACTGACAACCCTCCTCGCCAAGAGACACCACAACAGACATTCACCTCATCCCCCGACGGGCCTCCTATGGATCCAGTCAACCACACACTGTTCCTGGAAACCACCCTGGCCAATCACCAGCGCTGGGTCTGGGACTGCGCCTTCTCTGCAGACAGTGCATACCTTGTCACTGTTTCGAGCGATCACTATGCTCGCCTATGGGAACTCGGCACTGGAAATATCATCCGCCAGTACAGCGGCCATCATAGAGGTGCCGTTTGTGTTGCTTTGAACGACTATTCAGAGCCTCGCTAAGGGCAGAATGCAATATTGAGGCGCCTCGGCTAGCCGGCGTTGTACTTTCATGAGTTAATGGGTCTCTATTGGCGTTGATCGTATTCTAGGTAATCTACACATGGCATGGCGCGATTCAAGGGTGTTTTCGGTGTTTTCGACGTTTTCTCCATTTTTGTGGCGTGTTTTGGGTTGGTCAATGAAGACCTTTTTCGTCGGATTATTCTACAAATTTCTAGCTCGTTCCATTTCCATCCTACAGAGGAAACTGCATAGTGCCGAGGTACCACTAACAATATCACATGTTTATTCCAAGTTTTCTTTCTCTGCACTACATACTCCTGCCAGGGTAGCTTGTCTAACGCAGGCAAGTCTCCATAAAGTAAAAGAAAACAAAACACCACGCTCAGACCAAATTCAACTCAAATCACACGAAAAAGAACAGATCTGAACATACCCAGGGAACTAAAACAAATGTTCAAGTACATGAAAAAAGAAATGTGAAGCCTGTGAGACAAACGCGACAAGCAGTCCGAGGGGTACCTCACAGACAAAGCCACCACTACCGCTGATGGAATCTTATGCCATCCATGGATATGTTCATCATAGAACAAGCCAGCCAACAGCTAGCCCCGTCCTTATACGACGGAAAACCACGTCACACAAACAACAACATCCATCCCCCGCTCCTCAGCACCAGTGTACTTGAAAGTCCACATACCGTCGCGGTTGACATCCCAGAACGCCCCAGAGGCGGAATGCATACCACGCTTGCCGGCATTGCTGAGTGCGCCATCCGCGGCGACGGAGGGGTCAATCACGCCCTGCTGCACGATTGTGCTGTTCACGGTAAAGCGATAGGGAGGGGGCTTGGAGGCTTCAGTGGGTGCGGTGGCGGTGATCAGGGCCTTGAGGATAGTGTTCTGTACCCCGGGGGGAGGGTGGTTATTAGTATCGGCGTTGCCCCTAGCAATCGGGTGGTGGTGGTTGATTGGGCGGTGATGCTTACAATAATCTGGGAGTTCCAGTCCCCGACATTGTCGTGCTCATAGTTCTGGCTGGTCTGGAGGGCATTCTCGCAGGCCTGAGGTGAGATGTTAGCGCGGGGTTAATTCCACGGGGTATCCTTGGAAGCGGGCGTACCTCCGTAGTGATCTTCTTGAGATCCTCGATGAGGATGGGCTGGATAGCTGTTAGGACCGATTTTGACAATGCACGACTCGTACGGAGTATTTTCATGGCATCATTGCGCATCGATGTAGCGCAGCCGGAATGTTACTTGCGGTCAACGTACCGATGAAGAAGCGCCTTCGGCAGACATTGTGTGTAATCTGAATTTGGTGGGTTTAGCGGGGGGGTCAAAAGTGCTATATAGAGCATTTATTAGTATACAAGCAAATTCAATCAAAGTTTAACGCGTGTAGAGTCCATTGGGCTGACATCATGTCCCATTTACCACGGGGTATGCGCAACCCCGGAGCAATGCGGGGAGAAGGGGCACAATTGATGGCGAGTTTGGGCGCGGAGAACCTTTTCTAAATAAGAGAATTTTATTCACATACCTTTTGTTGGATTTGGATAGCAGATAGGATTAGGATTGTGGGATGCTTGTCGGACTCCCCCTGCAATCTACGTGGATTGTTTGGATGTTTGGCAATCATTGGGACGCTTGGCTTAAAGGGGTTTGGCGCGAGCTTGATTCTGCCGTAGCGGTGTGACAGGCAAAAGTGCAGAAAGCAAAATGTAGACTGAAAACCTAGGCTAACCATGTGAGACTGCGTTTCTACTGGACACTTTAGACAAGACAGAAGGGAGAGACGTCTGGAAGGATTTGAACATGGGCTAGGCCTGAGGTAGTAGCTAAGATATGGCAGTAATGGGGTGGCCTAAATGGTCTCCTATCGCTTTCTGAAGAAGATTCACAGCCCATCTTGTCTCTTAGTTATTACTAGAGTCAATTCTTCCTTCCCCTCCAGGTTCATAGAAACCTAGTTGTCAAATTTGCTGCTGATTTAGAGTCATCGTAGTAACACCTGGCGGGTATCCCAACATTAAAATGTTTGCTTGTAGTGCAGAGGTAGAAGACAAGATTGCAACCGTAGGATGTTTTCTCTTGAGTCCATCGTCAAAGGAGCCAAAGACAAAAAGCAAAGCTTCAAACACTAGATGTTCATGAAACTATCCATCAAGTTTAACAAGCAAGATCTTTTGGACGTAAAGTTTCGTGAAAGTCAAATTCCTCGGCCTTTGTCGCGTTGCGACGAGTTGTCCAAGTTCCACACACTCAAATGAAAGGCAGTTCCCCCCCCTAAGATCATATAAGCCAATATCAACCCTTTTATTGACCCACCCAAGGGGTTTGTACCTCGTCCAATTGTAATATGAGCTTCTATTATTGTCATGTGCTTCATAGAGCGGGAATTTCCACATTTTTTCGTGGCCACCGAATTTCCTCACCTATCGGATGGTGTATCTTATATGATCAAGATGCTCTTCACAAGTTAAGGTTTACCACCAACGACCTTGAACAGATTGTGCATCTCTTATGCGGGGAAAATTTTTGGTTGCCAGTTCAATTGAGTATCTACGAAGAGCTCTAACCATACCCTGCATATGGAATTCCTACCCGAGCGTGTCTTTTGCATCATTTGAAAGAATTGGAAAATAAGGATCACAGATCTCAAGCCCTGGGGCTTCCCATATGCGTCTTTCCAATACATGGTAAACACGGTCGGGCCTTGATTCATCTATGACTGTGTTGAATTTCCACGCAACTTGAAACCTTCCAACACCGGCACAATGTGCTGACCCACGCAGTTCTGCTGCCATGACATAATCTAAAACACACTTGAAGTGGACGGCTATTCGTTCACTAAGAACAAAATCACCGACAGTGTCGATCCTTCGCCTGAGAGGAGCTTTCGGGTCAGGTGTCTTTTGGGGAGCTCTTCTGCAACTAGAAGTTTGGAATGGCCCGACTGGTATATTAGGAACTCGAGAGCATTCCTGTTAGCTTAGCTATCCCGATATGAACCTTACCGGGCTATGAATGTCAGATAGATAATGTGAATTGAACATCAATTCCTCGATCGAAAGAGTTTGCTTCGGTTAGACTGTCTAGCCTCGTGTAAGGGGATTTATCACCTTCGACAATAGGGAATGATTGCTGCACGAGCTCGTCTCTAGTTGCGGCATCCAATTCCGCCAATGTTACACGCGGCCACATCTGATCGCCGACATTTGAGGAACTTTACTCTTTCGGCGAGGGCCAATTCCTCACCAGCGTCCTTGTCTATTTTCATTGAATGAGTCCGATCTCAGCTATGTTGGAGACATAATGGCTCAAGGGCTCAAAGAAGAACAACTCTGCCACATGGCTCGTCCACGGCGGGTCACTCCCAGCTAATGATGTCATCCCGAAGCTGTTCCAAGGTTCCAGCCGAACCTTGGAGGGCAAGTTCTACCTCCAACACATAAAGAGAGAAGATAGGTATGTCTTGAATTATGCAAGGATATTTCAAAACTAACGAAATTTGTAGGTAAAGCAATTGTCAATAAAGTGATATTGAAGCTTCAATTTGTTGAACTATCAAAAACAGGACGAAGACTGAGAAAGAAACAAAGACAATACCGGGCTTCTGTTGCTTGTATACTAGCCCTACCGGCGAAGCATCATCTTATAGGCGACGTTGTATCAAAGAATTCTCAATTGAGGATGATTACATTGCATATAACATAGCCCTAGGTTTACACTGCCTACTCCATAGATAGTCCCGCTATCCACTTGAGCGTGCCGAGAATCGCACAAACTAGAATGATGACCAATAGCTAGCTCCAATCGATGCCAAATGCTGTGTTTGATTTTCAATTCCTTCACCCTTTACTCGTTGGCTATCTTTTTCTTTCGTCCTTCCCTAATGGCCTCCTTTTGCCGCTAGGGCTCATTTTTCGCATCAGCGTTCAAGTCGTTCTCTACTTAGACTTGATCCAAACAATGGTACTAAATCAGCTCTCCAACCCCTAACTCACTATTCCTAGATGCTCCCCATGGGAAGAAAGAGGGCCAAGCTTACGCCGATGGACTTAACACACTACCACAAACCGAGGTGTCCATTTCTCATATCCAAATTCGCCGTGACATGTCACTCTCGGCCACCGGAATATTCCGTCACCCACGAAGCTACATTATTGGATTTAAAGTGGGAGACCTAGATTTAACTTCCTAATCTACCGACTGAACTCTTCAAGATCGAATTTCAAAGTCTAAAAGGTCCACCAGTGGGCTGGGAGGGACGCACTGGACAAGGGTTTTTCTTGACTGGATCTGTCGATCAAGGCGAAGAGCTGCTCCGCACATTCCTAATTTACCACGGCTGTCAATGAGATGGATTTTCCTCTTCAAAGTCTGAAATACGCATTTGTGACTAACATTTTTGAGACTGATACCACGGAGTGTGTTCGTGGTGAAGTACACAAATCTGAAGGGCTTCCATGCCCTTCCAGCAAACTGCAAATCCGGGAGACTCGTTCTCCCGGATTTGATTCCTTTTCAGGTACTACAATGGGTAGGACTGTGACAGCTTTTGTTCTATGTGCGTGGGGCCAAGGTAGGAAGCGAATTACGAGGATCATTGCTTTTCACGACGGCAAATGCTTTCAACGACTGAAAATGCAATTTGACAGTGAATGGAATGGAGGGCAGATAGCCCGCTATTTGCCTTGGTATGTAGTTCAGTACGTACAGTCTATGTCCTTTATAATATAGGGATGCTAGCATTGATTGCATTTTCATATGTCCAATTGAAATTGTCTACTTGCCCGAACGTAGCCATTTATAGTATATTTCACTTGCGACAAGTCACATACCAGGATACTATGTGCTTATGCTAATCTCAATGCTCTCGTTAAAGCGAAGGTTGGACAAAAAGAACAATAGAATGCCTATTCGAATACCTTGGGGACAACCTATCCGTCCCTTCTATCATGGTTGCTTTCTAAATTAAACTTTACCGACAGTACCTTGGAGTTTCCGAGCTCATTTGAATACTTCCAATCTGGCCTAGGTGCCTATGCACTGGTGTATAGGTGATTTCGTTTAACCTGGCCACAAGTTGCCTTCCGTCGATGCTCCTCCAGAATTTTTTTTGCGTAGTTCCGAGTGTTTCTTAGGCTCGCCAACTTCGTCGATCTCACCTCGCTTGTTGTCGATAAATCCATATCCGCTTCTTAGGCGATCTTAATTACCCCTCCCCCCTTCCCAATCGCACTAAACGCAACAATCTCGTCTCTCCTTGGGAAATCTCGAATATACTCCGATCGCGGGGTTGAATTGAAACTCGACCTAGCTGGCTACTTGTGTTGCAATGAAAGAAGCCCTGTAGATATAGCGCAATCAGATACTAAAACGTTTTACCCAGATCTAAATGTGTGTGGTGATGTCGGGAGAGACGGCATCCCGGATTAGGCATCCCCGAGGACGATCTCAGCAGTATGACATCACTGCTCTTCTTATGTAAACACCCACATCAACCTTGGTTGAAATCAGGAGTTTCCAGGGCTGACATCCTACCTTGTACCCAGGTAAGCAAGTGAGATTGCTATATCACCTTCATTAAAATGATCTCTCGGCGGGTTCTGAAGCCTTATGCGGCTGAATTTCTTGGGACTGCACTACTGATCGTTATCGGGGATGGAGTTGTCGCCCAATGCCTGCTGTCCGACTACAACTACGGCACCTGGCTGTCTATCAACCTTGCCTGGGCAGCTGCCGTTGCTCTCTCGGGCTATTTGTCTGATCCTAGTCCGACCATCAACCCAGCGGTGACTCTTTGCCTTGCTCTTGTGCGTCCGTCTGAGGGACAATGGAAGCAAATCCCAGGCAAGCTGGCTGCGCAGTTTTTAGGCGGGTTTGTCGGCGCTGCGATCGTATATACCAATTATCGGTCGGCAATCAAAGCTTGGGATCCTGAATACACCATTCCCGGTGGATCAATCCTCAGCCCGGTCGGTCACCATTCAGCGGGCATCTTCTCGACTTACCCAGGGGCCTTCTTTGAGTCGAACTGGGAGGCTGTATTTTCTGAGATGCTAGGCTCGGCTGTGTTGATGTTTGGCTGTCTCAGCATTTCCGATCCGGGAAATGCTCACCGATTCCCTACTCCACAGCTCGCGTCCTTTTTGCTGCTGCTTATGATCGGAGCTGCATTGGGATGGCAAACTGGCTACGTATGTTCACCAACTGATCCGATTAGGAAAGTCTTACTAAGATGGAAATTAGGCCATAAACCCAGCTAGAGACTTTGGCCCGAGGCTGTTCTCTGCTATTATCTATGGCCGAGAAGTGTTTACGGCGGCTAACTATTATTTCGTTGTTCCCTTTTTCGCCCCTATCGTTGGCTGCATTTTAGGGGCGGCGACTTACGACGGATTCTTGTTCGAAGGAGAGGGGTCTCGCATTGCCGATGCGCTGGACAACGTTCAAGATCACGGGTCCCTTCGACTGCAGTGATAGCTGGGCTTTGAGGACTCAATGGCAGATATTGCTAGCGTAGGGCTGACGAGGATTTTCATGATTAGGTACAGATTGTGATGATACGTGAGAGTATGAGAATATGACGAGACAATGGAAAGATCGATATGCTTGTCTGTGCCTTGGCCTTAATTGCTCGAGACTTTGTTTAAATAGACCAAAGCTAATTTGATGCGAAAGGATTTTGTCTTGTGGCAAAAACACGAGGAACCTGCAAAAAACATACAACAGTGAGAATTCGCTGGTGGTCACCCACCCAACTACTAGTTCACCGGCGTGTGGCTTATGTGTAGTCAGTAGTCCGGTGGGTGCTGCCTGGGTGAGAAATGGGTGAGCGCCGCTTTACGGTCGCGCGACCGGGGGTGACAAGGGTGAGTGCGCTATAGACAGGGTGATAATCACCCAAGTCGCGCGACCTCTGCATTGACCCCTTCGGCTGAACAACGGCAGAATGTCATTGGATATTACTCTTTCCCCTGAAACGCTCGGCATCTTGGCATCTGTACACAGCCACCCGAGGATGCATCGAAGTGTGAGCTGTCACTAGTGTCCAAAATGTCGAACTTAGCCCTACTTGCTGACAATTGTATGAAAACCCTATGACGCTAGATTTACAAATCTAGAAAAGAATACAGAATAACCCAAGAAGGCAATGAAGCACTGCGACATTTCCAAACATGAAGCATCAAAACTCCAAGTTATCAGCGAGAGCATCAGAAAAGTACCATGACTAAGGTCGTATAAAATATTTATTACAATTACGCGTAGCCCTCTTATGTTCATCTCCGGCTGACTACAATTTAAGAGAGTAGAGCTCTATGTATTGGTTACTTCGTAGCTCGAACGCTGGGACTCTTCTTACTAAATCTAGGTGCCAGGGATTTTTCCGTCCTCCGTATACCGTCAAATTGTCATT